TGGGGGACCGGGAGCGTGTCACCCCCCAGAGCCCACAGGCCCAGGACCCCCGACCAGGTGTCCTCACTGCCTGGAATGAGACCACAGCACAGGAAGGGGGCGGGCGCTGAGCAGAAACGGGAAGTCTCGGGGTGAAATGTCCCTGCAGTGCAATCACTGTCCCCACTTTCGACGCCGCACACAGCGTCCACGGACAGCGGCCAGATGGCGGAGCGCCGGGGAGCCGGGACACAGAGCAGATGGCCGGAGCAGAGGCTGCCGCCCTGGGGTAAGGAGGGGCCCATCCTGTGCGGGCCTCAAAGCTGCCCTGCGGCCGCTCCCGCCGCGGGTCCTCGAGCATCGGGGTGCGGGATGGGGGTGTCCAGGCGGTCGTGTGCACGCAGACGTGGGGAAGTTCCTAGGGCTCCCGGGGTCGGAAGGTCGGATCAGCCACGTCGCACGGGGACCAGGCTGGGCCCGAGGTGCACGCGGGGGCCACTTTGCACGTCCTCCCGAGGCTGGGATGCGTTTGCGAGTGGCGGCTGGGGGGCCCCTGGGTGACAGGCGTCCCTGGGTTGCCGGAGCTCGGTGACGGACAGCGTCCGTGGCCGGCGGCCTGGGGGTGCACAGCGGAGCCCATGCAGGGCTCGCCCGGGTCAGCAGCGTGACCTCCTCGCCCAGATGTAGCCGCCTGCATGCGCAGCGCAGGTTCCCGCAAAGGGGAAGAAACCGGGTCTGGTGCAAAGTGAAAGGAGAAGGGAAAGTGGTCGGCAGGGAACGCACAGAGGGCGGGGCTGTCGGGTCTGCATTCGCCCCAAACACGCGGCCGTCGTGTCCGCACACACAGGCAGAGGGCAGGTTGTAGGAAGGACCATGGCCTCGCGCAGACGGGGTCCCCCTTGGAGGCTCCAGCACCTCCTGGCTCAGGTGGACATGATGCCCGAACGTCGCCCCCGAGCCTGGAAAAGGGAGAATTTTCTACCATGTGCGTTTTGCCTCTTTTTAAGCAGTCAAGGCAAAGAGAAATTCGATGAAGCCGAGGCTCCCTGGGTGTCGTGTGCCCTGTGAGGCTGGTGGGAAGTGCCCCCGGGGCCGGGCGTGAGCGGGGAAGACGGGGACGCAGGTGGAAGGCGGCCTATGCTGTGCACACCCGGGAGCCGGAGAAATCACGGCGCAACTTACTTGACGCTTTGCCCAAAATACCCTCCGCGGGTTTGGCAACATCCTTGGCCAAAAGCCCCCGGGTGTGACTCACCGTCTAATTAAGGCAGCAGCCCAGCCGCCGGTCCCCATGCCCACCGGCCTGTGGGTACGTGATACCCCGGTCATTGGCTCTGGGATTTTTTTTAAAAGTCCAGTTTACAGAAGTGGATGACTTTGCTCCATCACGATGAGCAAGAAGAAGCAGGCAGGGCTCAGAGCGGGGGAAGCCGAATGGGGAACCTGTCAGGCCCAGGGGGGTTTCTGTGCAGTAACTCAGGGGCATTCGATCAACGCACGGGGAAGGGCTGTGCGTCCCCAGGCACCTGCTGCGTGCGCAGCCCCAAAGGAGGGGGAAATGGAGTCAAGAAGCTCGTGGGGGTGGATGCACCCCCCCGCCCCCCGCCCTGTAGCATCATGCGGCTCCCTCTTGATTCAGGGCAGCTCGGGTGCAAGCCCAGATCGCAGATGTGAAAATCAGGGCACAGAGGAGGTGGGAACAGCAAAGGCAAACGGGAGCCTCAGCCCAGACCAAGACCTGGTTTGCCCTGGGAGCCCCTGAGGTGTGGTGTGGACCCCCGCCTCAGTTCCCAGAACCCCCGAGAAGAGCCGGGAAGCGCAGGGTGCAGCAGGCTTCGGCCTCCCTGCAGAGGGAGGAAGCCAGGCACTTCCCCATGACGCTGGGCTGCAAGGTGCGTGGGAGGCAGGGACGTTGGGACAGGTCTGGTCTGCGGCTTTTATTTCCCTTTTTATACCTACTGGGGTGCCCTGCGTGGAGGGTGGGCTCGGGGAGGGTGGGAGGCAGGAAGCTGAGGCCAGATGTGCAACCTGGCCTGTGGAGGCGGCTGGATTCTGTATCTGTGGGCTCGAGCCGGAGAAACGGGTGCAGAGCAGGGGTCAAGGGGCTGGGCTTCGGGACAAGCCAGTCGACCTCAATACACAGGCCACACGTCACTGCCCTGGGTGAGTGGGGAGGAGGCAGCTGGTGAGCAAATGTGCGGAAGGAGCCCCACGGCTCCGAGGTCTGTGGGGTCGGATCAGTGGGCTGGGGGCCCCGTAGGGAGGGGCCTCCGGGCAGAGTTGGAAATGGAGGCGCCAAATGTGCTGAACTAGCCACGCATGGAAGGGAGACACTCGTTTCGGGTGGGAGCCGAGCTGCAGAGGGGCCTGGATGGAGAGGAAGAGCCGTGCACAGGGGCCGGCTGGGAGGAGGCGGCCGCAAAGCAGACACTGGACAGGACAAAATGGGAAGGAACTTGGTGAAGGAGATGCCTGAGAGGGAGAGGGGAGGGAGGGGGGAACAGGGAAAGAAAGAGGAAGGAAGGAAGGAGGGAAGGAAGGAAGGAGAGAAAGAAAGAAAGAAAGAAAGAAAGAAAGAAAGAAAGAAAGAAAGAAAGAAAGAAAGAAAGAAAGAAAGAAAGAAGGAAAATCATTGGTAGATAGGTAGAGAGAGAGATATGCACAAATAGATAAATGGATGCATTGATGAATGTATGCATGGATGGATACATGGATGCATGGGTAGAAAGAAAGAAAGACAGATGAAGGAAGGAAGAAATTGGGAGGGAAGGAAAGGAAGGAAGGAAGGAAGGAAGGAAGGAAGGAAGGAAGGAAGGAAGGAGAAAGAAAGAAAGAGAGACAGAGAGAGAGAGAAAGAAAGAGAGAGAGAGAAAGAGAGAAAGAAGGAAGGAAGGAAGGAATGAAGGAATGAAAGAAAGAAAGAAAGAAAGAAAGAAAGAAAGAAAGAAAGAAGGAAGGAAGGAAGGAAGGAAGACTTAAGAAAGAAAGAGAAGGAAAGAAAGAGAAGGAAGAGAAAGCAGAAGGAAGGAAGGGAAGGAGGGAGGAAAGAAAGGAGGAAAAGAAAGATGGAGGGAAGGAAAGAGAGAAGGAAAGAACGAAAAAGGGAAAAAGGAAGGAGGGAAGAAGTGAAGGAAGGAAGGGAGAAAGGAAGGAAGCGACAGAAGAAGGAAGGGAGGGAGGAGGGAAAGAACGAAGGAAGGGAGAAAGTATGGACGCCGTGAGGGATGACAAACAGGAAGGAGGGACCCAGGGAGGGAAGTAAAGAAAGATGGAATGAGGGAAGGAGGGAGGGGAGACGTGAAGGCAGGACGAAGAAGGTAAAGAAGGAAGGAACATAGAAAGGATGGAAGGAGGAGGGAAGAGAAATGGGAGGGAAGGAAGGAAGTTTGCGGCTGTTCCGTCAGCCCCCAGGGAGTGTTTAGAAAAGATAAACTCTATAAACGCAAAGAAATTACAGAAAATGGGATCATGTGTGATGAGAGACAGAGACGAACCTCCCAGAAACGATAAGGCGTTAAAAGGATGAGGTCACAGGGAACACAAAGACACGAAGAACAATGGAGGCAGTAAGTGGCTGAGACGGAGAGAAATAGTTAGAGACATAAGACCCTCATGACACGTGACAACAGCAATAGCCAAGGAAAGACCCCAGCAAAACTACGACCAGGGAGATGGTGAGCAGACCCTAAGACCCCACCCCAAACCCAAACATAGCATCAGGTATGTCCTGTTGCGTGCAGCTTTAGGTGACCAGAGCCCTTTGCTTTTGTCCTTATGTGTTGAAAAAGTTTGTAATAGACTTTGTTTTTTTAAGAACAGTTTTAGGTTTACAGAGACATTCAAGTCAAAAGTACAGCGAATTCCTTTATATATGTTTCCCCTTGAACCTAGTTTACCTCATGATTAATATTCGGCATCAGTGCGGCTCAGCTGTTATAATCGACGGGCCAATATTGATACACGATTATTGATTAAAGCCCACGGTTTACATCAGAGTAACTCTGGGTGTTGGACATTCTTTGAGTTTGGACAGATGTATAATGATAGGGATCCACCATTATAGTATGATATCAGAGTAGTTTCACTGCCCTAAAAACCTATGCTCCACCTGTCCGTCGGCCCCCCTCCAAAGCCCTGGCGACTATTAAGTTTTTTCTGACTCCATAGTTTTTCTTTTTCCAGAATGTGATAGAATTTGAATCAATATAGGATGTAGCATTTTCAAGCTGGCTTCTTTCACTTAGTCAATAATTTAAACTCCTCCATATCTCTCTGTGCACTTACCACTTTTTATTTTCGACTTTTTTTAATATATGCTTTTCTATGGTTGCAAAACTCAAGTTTAAATAAAAAAGTTTAAAAAAGAGAGAGAAACCTCCAAAAATTGATATTACCACAATGGAAACCTGGCCTATCACTTCTTTTTCTACTCCTCCCAAATCCATTCTAATTATTAAGACAGAGTCAGAGCGTGTGTCAACTATACTCCTATTAAAAATATTTTTGGGGTGCCTTGGGGACTCAGCTAAGTGTCCAACTTCAGGTCAGGTCACGATCTCATGGTTTGTGAGTCTAAGCCGCAGACTGGGCTCTGTGCTGACAGCTCAGAGCCTAGAACCTGCTTTGGATTCTGTGTCCCCCTCACTCTCTGTCCCTCCTCCACTCATACTCTGTCTCTGTCTCTCTCTCAAAAATAAACAGAAAAAATCTTTTTAATTAAAAAATTAAATTTTTTTATAAAAATTTAAAAATGAAAAATATATGAACAAAAAAAGAGTCAGAATAGTGAGAAACCAATACAAGTGGGTGTCATTTTTTCCCAAGTACTGTGACCTATCAGCCGTGGCTTCAAGACTCATCCGAACCATGAGCGAAGCCTGAAACAAGGCGGATGTGTGAATTCGTAGGTGGATTCACGGGACACTGGTAAATCTCCATCCACGCCGTGTGGGGGTATCGTTTTGCAACCCGCCTCTCACAGGAAGCGGATTCTGGAGAAAAGAGAAGTTGGCGAGTGAGTTCCTGGTTTCTTGGTCATGCGGGGTGTGGACTAGGTAGACAGCCCGGGCCATTCTCTGCAGGTGGAACTGGAATCCCCTTGGGGAAGGGTTGGGGAGCCTGTGCTCCACCGAGACCCCGGTCAGAGAGGGTCCAGTCGTGTCCTGGAGGCCAACCGTGTGGACCCAGGGTCCAGTAGCCTGGATGCAGCCCTGATTGTCTGTCTCCACTGTTGTTCTGTGTGCAACATGCCCGTCACATCGATGCCCGCCCTGGACTCATCCCTGAGCCCTAGAGAGTGAGTGCATCATGGTACCTTGGTGGACAGAATAACATCCCGAGAGAGTGTACCTCCCGATCTCAGCATGGTGGACGCTATAATGGCCACGGAGACGTCCACTTTCTCCACCAGACTGCAGACCGGAATGAAGCCAGAGCATGTGGTCACCTTACCCCAGGGACTCGGCAGACACCGGGTGGGCTGGAGCCCGTGTTGTGGCTACAGCACATGCCCTTGGGTCTGGGGACCCCCTGAGGCTGGTTGTAACCTGCTGACCCTGCGCACCCAGCAGTGACCCCTGAGGAATCCTGCCCTCATGAGAGCTGATTTCCTGAGTGTGCCTGTCCCCTCCCCCAGGGCTTCCTCATCCTCTCGGCCACCCCCCGGGACCCCTGGTGATGACCATCCTGTTCTGCATGCTGCTGGACCCCGTGTTACTCCTGACTCAGGGGCGCCACGGTAAGAGTGTGAACGTGTGTGGCCCTTTCCGGCCACCTCTTGTCCGTGTCCTCTGTGTCTGGGGACACATCCTGACTGACATGTGAGTCCAACTGCATTTCATGCCTGTTTATCGGGCCACCCGTCGCCACTTAGGGAAGGATAAAAGTGGACAAATTCACTCGGGTTTGGGGGGACAGTGGTGAGGGTCCCTAGGATATACGGGGCTGACTGGGACGTGGGTAACAAAACGGTGCTGGTCAGACACGTGGGGAATGGGGACCCCGCCGGATGGTCAGGACTTGGGGAAGAGCGGCCATGTCCCTGGAGCGTGGAGACGCAGGTAAGGAGACCAGGTAAGGACACTGGGAACCCCCACCGTTCCCCAGGGGACGTTCTCCGCGAACACTCCCAGGGTCGGGGATACACTTCCTCAAAATACACTTGGCTTGTGCGACTTTTGACCGACCTCTTGAGGGCAGACGTGCTATTGCTCAATTCAGTGCCATTGGACGCCAAGAAATGGAGACGTTCGGGGACGTGCTGGTGACCGTGGCTGGCGACAGGCAGAGCCGGGACTCGGACTCATGTGTGTCGTTCTAAAAGGGGCTCTGATCTGAAGGTGTAGACGAGGTCCACGCATCCGTCTTGGCCAGCCTGAGAAAGGAGAGAGGGGGTTGGTGAACACGGTCTCCACACCCTCCGTGCAGAGGACCTCGGGGCATTTTCACGGACTTGCACAAAGTCTGTAGCGTCCAGCACGGCCTCATCGTGTGCGTCGCGTGTGATGAATGCCGCTCACTCCGAGTCCGGGGTCCAGGGATGGGCACAAGCGGGTTCGGTCCAGGCAGGAGAGGTTCCTTCGGCATATCTGTGTCATCGGATGTCTGTTGACCATTGAAGGCTTTCTTGGTTGGGCGTGAGCCCGAGGGCATATGCAGCTTTCGGGGTCCCCACAGCCCAAGACCAAACCCCACAAACGCCTTCGGGATGGACGACCGTTACCGTCTGTGCCGGGAAAGGAGGAGAACATGTGCAGGAAAACAAGCGGGTGCCTGGGAGGGAGGAGGGTCAAGAAACTCGGGACGTAAGCGAGTCAGGTTCAGGCCGTGGAGACTGGGAGAGAGGCGGGCGGTCTGCGTGCGGTGGGGCGGGAGCCGGATAACGGCGGATGTGGGTGTGCGGCACCAACCACGTGGGCTGAGAGACTCAATATACAAACAGACAGTGGCAGAGGTCTGGCCCACGAACCCACAGCAACTGCCCAGGGGACCAGCCCCTCATCTTTGGGGACCAGCCCCTCGTCTTCGGGGACTAGACCCTCATCTTTGGGGACCAGCCCCTCGTCTTCGGGGCCTAGACCCTCACCTTTGGGGACCAGCCCCTTGTCTTCAGGACCAGCCCCTCGTCTTTGGGGACCAGCCTCTCCTCTTCAGGGACCAGCTCCTCTCTTCGGGGACCAGCCCCTCATCTTTGGGGACGAGACCCTCATCTCCCAGGACCAGCCCCTCCTCTTCCGGGACAAGCCTCTCCTCTTCAGGGACCAGTTCCTCTCTTCGGGGACCAGCTCATCATCTTTGGGGACCAGCCTGTCATCTTCTGGGACCAGCCCCTCCTCTTTGGGGACGAGACCCTCATCTTCAGGACCAGCCCTTCATCTTCTGGGACCAACCCCCCATCTTTGGAGACCAGCCCCTCATCTTTGGGGACCAGCCCCTCATCTTCTGGGAGCAGCCCCTCATCTTTGGGGACCAGGCCCTCATCTTTGTGGACAAGACCCTCATCTCCCGGGACCAGACCCTCCTCTTCCGGGACCAGCCACTCGTCTTCTGGGACAAGCCTCTCCTCTTCAGGGACCAGTTCTTCTCTTCGGGGACCAGCTCATCATCTTTGGGGACCAGTCCCTCGTCTTCAGGGACCAGCCCCTCCTCTTCGGGGACCAGCCCCTATCTTTGGGGACCAGTCCCTCGTCTTCAGGACCAGCCCCTCGTCTTCAGGACCAGCCCCTCGTCTTCGGGGATGAGACACTCATCTTTGGGGACCAGCCCCTCATCTACAGGACCAGCCCCTCGTCTTCGGGGACCAGCCCATCATCTTCCGGGACCAGCTCCTCATCTTTGGGGACAAGACCCTCATCTCCCAGGACCAGCCACTCCTCTTCCGGGACCAGCCCCTCGTCTTCCGGGACCAGCACCTCCTCTTCCGCGACAAGCCCCTCCTCTTCCGGGACCAGCCCCCTCCTCTTCCGGGACCAGCCCCTCGTCTTCCGGGACCAGCACCTCCTCTTCCGCGACAAGCCCCTCCTCTTCCGGGACCAGCCCCCTCCTCTTCCGGGACCAGCCCCTCGTCTTCCGGGACCAGCACCTCCTCTTCCGGGACCAGCCTCTCCTCTTCAGGGACCAGCCCCTCCTCTTCGGGGACCAGCCCCTATCTTTGGGGACCAGCCTCTCATCTTTGAGGACCAGCTCCTCATCTTCAGGACCAGCCCCTCGTCTTCGGGGACGAGACCCTCGTCTTTAGGAACAGCCCCTCGTCTTCTGGGACCAGCCCCTCATCTTTGGGGACCAGCCCGTCATCTTTGGGGACCAGCCCGTCATCTTCTGGGACCAGCCACTCGTCTTCCGGGACCAGCCCCTCCTATTCCGGGACAAGCCCCTCCTCTTCTGGCAGCAGCCCCTCCTCTTCCGGGACCAGCCCCTCCTCTTCCGGGACCAGCCTCTCCTCTCTCAGGACCAGCCCCTCCTCTTCCGGGACCAGCCTTCCTGGAACATCCGGTCCCAAATGTCCGGGTCGTGATCCCTGAGTGACAGCGTCCCTACCTTCTGACACCACTTCCGCGTCAGGACCAACCAGGGGAAGCCGGGTCCGCTGTCCCGACCTATCACAGGGGGCGCCCTGCTTCCAGGGAGCCGCCCACACGCCCCCCAGACCCGCAGCCTCTGCGCAGGGCGCAGCCCAGGGGCCCCTCCTGACCTCTGAGAAGCCGGCCGCCCCTCCCACGAGTGTGTGACAAAGGCCGCGGGGGCCACCAAGTCCCTCAGCGTGGAAGCTCACCGTAAACAGTCTGTGCTCGTTTTCACCCGGTCGGTCGTGACTCACATACACAGTAGGCTCCTGCACACGGAGAAAAGGCACGGAGGTCCAGGCAGGCGGCGGCGATGGGCAAGGGGGCAGGTTCTGAGGCCGTGCCAATGCCCTGGGGCCACTCGGGGCGGGACGGGGGAACGGCACAGCGTGGCCCAGCCTGGATCTTTGCTTACACGACCCGGGATGGCTCAGCTGGTGTGGGGCGAAGACGCGAAAGCAGGTAATTTCTGAATCCGCGGGCACATCTTTCAGATCCCCCAGCCGTGGAAGGGGTCCCCGGCCTACAGATGAAGTTCGACCCCAGGACGATGGAACTGAGCTGGGACTGCGCAGAAAACACTACGTCCCTCGAATGCGTGATGATCCACGAGGAGAAAGGAGAGATCAGACGGCAGGTAAGGTGGAGTCGACCGTCCGTCACGGGGCCCTCGCCCATGTCCGGGAGGTGCCCGGTGGCCTGATTCCCTGGGGGCCTCGGCAGCTCCTTGGAGAATGTCTTAACCCCAAAAGAAAAGGGGGTGCAGGGCACCCAGGGGAGGATGCCCAGCTCCAGGCTCCTATGGGGTGACACTGGGTGGGACCCTGGGAAAGCTCTGCCGCCCTAGGAGGGACTCGGGAGGCGAGCCAGCGGGTCGGTGCACCCAGCGCAGCAAGGTTAGCTTCCAGTCGGGCACGCGATGCTTCTGGAACTTCCAAGGAAGAAGTGGTCTCAGTCCCGAGTGTTCGATGAGAACACAGGCAGCGGACTCACTGGGCAGAACGTACACGTGAGGCCTGTGAGTGGCTGAGGGCGATGACATAGGACAAGAAAACACAATTGACACGGAACAGCGTGTGTTAATCTCCGTGGCGTTGAGAATGATGACGGATGTCGATGCTCGGAGTTCGGGCCCATCGGCGTCACCTGGAGCTTTGTGACAAATGCAGACCCCACGCTGCCACCTGCATCACACGCAGCCAGAATCTGCGTTAAAAAATTGTTTTTTACATGTATTTAGTTTTGAGGGACAGAGAGAGACAGCGTGAGCAGGGGAGGGTCAGAGAGAGAGGGAGTCACAGAATCTGAAGCAGCTCCAGGCTCCGAGCTGTCAGCACAGAGCCCAACGTGGGGCTCGAACCCACGAACCGCGAGGTCATGACCTGAGCCCCCCAGGCGCCCCCAGAAGCTGCATTTTAACAAGACCCCTGTGACTTAGGGCCACCCTGAAACAAGGCCTCTCTTCCGCTCTCTAAACAACACTACCGGCTGCCAGATCGAGTCCCACGCACACGTTGGCACGCCAACGCCCACTCACACAAGGTACCCGGGTGGTGGCGGCTTCACGGGGTCGGGGGGCCAGCAAACAACACCGAGATGAGAAGGAAAAGAAGGGCTTCCTAATGCGCTGATTGGTTGCATCTTTTTAGCTCAAGAACAAAGAATGTCACTGCAAGTTTCTGGATTATTCTCTCCATGGGGGAGTCACGTTCATGGTTAAAGTCAATACCACCCAAGGACTGATTACAGAAAAACTGGTGTACACTAACCCAGGTAGGGAAACCATGACGGTGATCTTTCTGCCCATTCTTAGCCTCAAGGTAGATCCCGTCCGTTTTTTCCAGCTTTACTGAGATATTGCTGACCCATAGGCGGTGTATAAATTCAAGGTATACAACTTCAAATTTTGATAAAAACACATTGATAAATAATTGCTGCAATTAAGCTATGATCCCTTCCTCCGACTTTTGGAAACCACCGTTCTTTTCCGTTTCTATGAGTTTTGACCATTTCACACCCCACATACAGGCACTCCCAATTTTCTCTTTCGTGTCTGACTTCACTCACTCAGCATAACGCCTTTCACGTTTTCATCCACGTTCATCCACGTTGCCTCAAATGGCAGGATTGCCTTCTTTATGTAAGTGAATACTATTCCACTCTGTGTATTCGCCATGCCTTCTTGATCCATCCATTCAACGACACCCTTGAGGTCGTTTTCCGCACGCTCGTTGGCTATTGTGAGTCGGGCCACAATGACCATGGGGTGCGTATATCTTTTGCGGATACAGATTTCGTTTCCTTTGGGTATAGACCCCAAAGTGGGCTTGCTGGGTCATACGAGAGTTCTGTTCTGAATATTTAGGGGAACTTCCTAATTTCTCCCCCGTGGCCGCACTGACTTACACCCCCTCAGCCAGTGCCCACGGCTCACCTTTCTCCACATCCCCTCCCGTATTTATCTCTAGCCTCTCTCATAAGAGCCGCGTAGCGGGCGTGAGACGATAGCCCGCTGTGGCTTCGATTTGCATTTCTTTAAGACGAGTGATGATGAATATCTTCCCATGTAGCTGTTGGCCGTTCCTATGCCTTTTTCTGAAAATGTCTGTTCAGATCCTTTGCCCTATTCAGCTTGTTGAATTACTTTTATTTTAAGTCATCTCTACCCCCAACCAGGGGCTCAAACTCACAGTCCCCAGGTCTAGAGTCACCTGCTCTGCCAGCTGAGCCAGCCAGGCACCCTGGAATTATTTTCTTTTTTTAAATTTTTTTAATGTTTTATTTATTTCTGAGAGAGAGAGAGAGAGACAGCGTGAGCAGGGGAGGGTCAGAGAGAGAGGGAGACACAGAATCCGAAGCAGCTCCAGGCTCTGAGCTGGCAGCACAGAGCCCCACGCGGGGCTCGAACCCACAAACCGTGAGATCATGACCTGAGCCAAAGTCGGACGCTTAACAAACTGAGCCCCCCCAGGCGCCCCGTGGAATTATTTTCTTAATTCCCTTCCTAAACAGCTCGCTGTTAGATTATACAAATACGGCTGATTTCTGTCTGTTGATTTTGTATCCAGCATCTTTATTACATTTATTTACTGGCTCTGATGAGAGTGTTTTTGCTTCTTTGTTTAGTGTTCAGGCATTTCTACACATATGATCATATTATGAAGAAACAGAGATAATCTTATTTCTTTTTTAATTCGAATACCTTTATTTCTTTTTCTTGTCTAATTGCTCTGGCTAGGAGTCCCCACACTATGTTTAAACTGAGGCGGTGAGAGTGCAAACATTTGCCTTGTTTCTTACCTTCTAAGGTAAGCTTTCCATTTTTTCCCCTTGCTCTTCGCTATGGTGTTTTCATGTGTGTCCTTTATTGTGTTGAGGCCAATTCCTTCTTTGCCTATTTTATCGGGAGTTTTTTTTTTTAATCATGAATGGATACTGTTTTTTTTTTATCATCAATGGATACTGAATTTTGTCAAAGACATTTTCTATAGTGACGGAGACAATCACGTGTTTCTTTCTGGTTTCATTCTCTTCGTGGTGCAACTCATTCATTGATTTGCATATATTTAACCATTTCTGCCTGCGGGGGGGGGGGAATTCCATTCGGTCATGACTTGCCATCTGTTTAGTGCGCCGTTGGATCTGCATGCTAGCATTTTGTTCACGGTTTTTGCCTCTGTGTTTCTTAGGATACCTGGAGGCGGTTTTCGTTCCTTCTGTCTTTGTGTGACTTTGTTCTCAGGGTGATCTCATCTTTATCAAGTGAATTTGGGGGGCTCCTGGGGGGCTCGCTCAGTTAAGCATCTGACTCTTGATTTCGGCTCAGGTCGTGACCTCACAGTTCACGCGTTTGAGCCTTGCGTCAGCATGGAGCCTGCTTACATTCTCTCTCTCCATCTTTCTCTGTCCCTTCCTACCTCTGTCTCTCTCTAAATAAACAATTAGCTTAAACAAAAAATTAAGGGAATTTGGAAGTGTTTCCTCTTCTATTTTTTGGACATGTTTAAGAAGGATCGGAATGAACCACTCTTTGAATGTGCGGTAGACGTTCCGACGGTGCAGCCACGTGGTACACTCCCACGGCTGCTCCGTGTCCGTGTCTTCGCAGGTGGGGAGGACACCGCGGCCCAAAACTTCTCCTGTTTTATCTACAACGTGAGCTTCATGAACTGCACTTGGGCGAGAGGTCCGGCGGCTCCTGAGGACGTGCAGTATTTTTTGTATATTCAAAACTCAAAGTAAGTGTGGGGCCCACGTGGGCCCCCGGAAAAGCACAGTGTGGGCGCGGCCAGGCCTGTTCTCTGAACGCTTTCAATCTTCTAGGAAAAAAGTTGTACAAGAGTGTCCTCAGTACATAGAAGCCTCCGGAACCCACGTGGGGTGTTACGTGAACGACCTGTCATGGTTAAGTTTCTACAACTACTTCCTGGTGAACGGTACCAGCCGACACATCGGAATCCAGTTCTTCGATTCGATTCTGTCCACGAAGAAAATAGGTGAGGACAATGTCCGTCCCACGGCGGGGAGTGAGCCGGATGGAATTTCTTGGAAACCTGCCTACCTTTCCTGGGGCTGCTGTGAACCCCCGGCCGCGAACTGGGACGTTTGGAAGAAGGGAGGTGTGTTCTCTCCGGGTTCTGGAGGCCTGAGACCCCGAGTCCACCTGTTGCTATCGGTCCTTCCTTCTAGAAGGTGGCCAAGTAAGGGTGCCAGCAGCCCGTCTACTCTGAATCAATCCCACGTGCTGGAAAGATGTGCTGGGGCTCCCCCGTGGGGTGGGGGTGGGGGCTCTTCCCCAGCCCCCCAGAGCCCAGGTCCTCGCACCCGCACAACCTGGACACGCAGCGAATTTCCACGCAGTCACACACGGAAGCCCGTCCGTGACCAAGGGGGACATTCGACCAGGAAGTGGGGGTTAATTCTGGCTCCTTTGCAGAAGCCACAGCTTTCTCTTGCCTTTTGGGGGGGGGACCCCATTGACAAACCGTCCCCGGGGTGCATCTCCGGACAGCACGCCAAAGCTCCCGTGGCCAGGACGTGGCCACCTTCCTTCGGAGGGGGTCCCCACCTTCTTTTCTTTCCTCCCCATGTTTCTAGTATTTTTATTTAACCCTGGAAGGCGCAGTATTATTGCAAATTTCGGGAGTCTGACTCCACAGGAGGCTTGGGTCTCCGACCCCGTCGGTGGCCCCCGGGCTGACCAAACCCTTGGAATTTCCCGGGGGGATGAGCCCTGAATGTGCCTTTTGTTATGTGAACCAGGCGATTGCGGAAAAGCAGAACTGGCTGGGGGCCGGTTACCGTGGAAACAGCCAGGCATTGGTGGCTTTGAACTTGAAGTGCTTTCCTGTGACTTTGCTGGGGGCGGGGATGGGCGGGGGGCTGGGTGGGTTTCCTGATGGGATCGCGTCCCCCCCGCCCCCCGGGGGTGAGGAATGAGCCCAGGCCTCGGGCTCAGACCAGAGACACAGGGGATCCTGGGTGCAGCCCAGCGCGCGAGGTCCGTTCTCTGTGGAAGGACCCGGGGCCCTGGTGGTTGAGGTCGCGCATCCTGTCCCCCCCTCGGAAGCCACGCCCTCAGGTCCCCATGGGGGCCCCGTCCCCGCGCACCCCCGTTAGTGCCCTGCCCTCGCTGGGGGCTCCCGGGCCCCTCCCCGCAGCCCCCGCGTGGCCAGCCCTGCTCGCCAGCCCGGGTCCCCTTCGGTCCCGTCCCCAAGGGAGAACGCGGGGACCCACGACGGGCGCCTCCCGGTGACCCCTAGGGGCCGGCGCGGCGGCGCGGCGGGCAGACGCGGGTGTGACCCCGGTGTGTCCTGGGCCTGGTTGCAGAGGTGTACAGCGCGCCCCGCAACGTCTCCGTGAACTGCAACGCGTCCCACTGCCTGGTGGCCTGGGGGAGGCCGCGCACCCGCCAGGCCCTGTCCGCGCGCGACTTCAAGTATCAGCTGCACATCGAGAAGCAGGCGAGCCCGCGGGGGGGGGGGCACGGGGGGAAGGGCGCGAGGGGGCGGGGGGGGCGGGCGGGGNCGGGAGCGGCGGGGTGAGGGGCGGGCAGGGCGGCCGCGCCGCCGGAGGGCGAGGGTGGGGGGAGGGGCGTCCAGCCTTCGAGAGCCTTCGGGAAGCCTTTGGGAAGCAGGGACGCGGGAGGGCGCAGGGGCGGGCAGGGGGCGGGCAGGGGGCGGGGAGGGGCGTCCAGCCTCGGAGACTTCCGGGAGCCGGAGGGCGGGCGGGGGGCGAGGGGCGTCCAGCCTCAGAACCTTCGGGGAGCTGGGGAGCTGGGGAGCTGGGACGCGGGAGGGCGCGGGGTGCGGGAGCGGGGTGGGCGGCGCGCGGAGGGGGCCCTGGGCAGGAGGGGCGCCGCCGGGACCAGCCCCACACGCGGGCACACCCCCAGCTGGACCCTGAAGGCCTTCGGGTGTGGAGACGCGCAAGCAGAGGCAGGGAAGTCGGGCCTCCCCCTCCCTGTGCACCCGGACCCGGTGTAGACGAGGGGGACTCTCTCCATGTGCACCCGGACCCAGTGTAGACGAGGGACACTCCGTGCACACCCGGACCCAGTGTAGATGAGGGGGACTCTCTCCGTGCGCACCCGGACCCAGTGTAGACGACGGGGACTCTCTCCGTGCGCACCCGGACCCAGTGTAGACGACGGGGACTCTCTCCGTGCGCACCCGGACCCAGTGTAGACGACGGGGACTCTTTCCTCCATGACCACCCGCACACAGTGTAGACAAGGGTTAACCCTCTCCTCCACATCTACGTGTACCCAGTGTAGACAAGACGACAGTCCTCTCCATGACCACCTGGGCCCTTATTTGGACCCGTCAGCATCTGCGTTTGAGCCCACGGCATGATCGGGACACGTTTTCCCTTGCTGAGGACGAATCCTTGCCTCCGTCCCTCTGGGAGCACGTGACTGGAGGCGAAGGCGGTGCCCTCATGTAGCCCTGACTGTTGGGGGGACCCTTGACTGCACTCACAGGGGACCCCGGAAGAAAACTGTAACAATCTTCCAAGTGCAAACAAGTAAACCGAGTCCTGTTTGTCTTTTCTTTCTAGAACAAGGAACACACTGGAAATCAACTGGTGAGTTAAAACTCTGACTCAGAATATTCCTTTGAGGGTTAAACCGGTTTGTTCCTTCAAAGCACCTCTACTGGGAGACCCTCGATGTCCTAAGTCCCGGGGACACTGTGACCCCAGTACCGTCCTCTGTCCCATGGGCGTTAACTCGGTTAACATCTCTGCTCATATCACTCATATACACGCAGTGATTTTGGGACCCTCTCCCTGAAAAGTCTTTAATGCACAGGACACACGTCGATTTCACAAAGGTCGATTTCACCCTTCTAGATGGTTCTGAGGCCCGGCACCGTGAGGAAAGGGTCGAGCTCAGAAGCAAACTTTCCAGGGCGGTACCCTTGAAAAGGATCGCCCTGGGCCCTTCTTTCCGGAACACGGGACACCCCGGTTTCAAACTCTTCTCTTCTGTCCAAAGATCGACGTGTCCGGGGACTTGGAAAATAAATACAACTTCCCGTGTCCGGAGCCAAGAGCCAAGCACACTGTCAAGATTCGGACCTCGGACGCCCGGGCCGAGCGGTGGGGCCCCTGGAGTCAGCCCCTGGAGTTCGGTACGTGCCTCTCCGAGCCCGGACCCGGGGGTCCTTGCTGCCTCCCGAACCGGCCACTCCAGCCGGAAATGGTCCATCACTCCTGGTCCGATGCTCTTTGCAAGGTGACTTTGTTCAAGCCCTATATGCCTGGAAAAGTGTGTTTTGGGGGGTTCATTTTTATTAATTTATTTTTTTCCATGTATGTATGTATTTGGTCCCTTTTTATTTGTTAGGGGCTTAAAATTTATTTGCTTATTTATATGGTGCGTTTTTTAAAAATTCATTTTGGGGTGCCTTTTCTTTAATGTTTTTGAGAGGGGGCGGTAGAGAGCACATGAGCGGGGAAGGGGCAGAGAGAGAGGGAGACACAGAATCTGAACCAGACTCCAGGCTCTGGGCTGTCAGCACAAAGCCCGACGCGGGGCTCGATCCCACGAACCGTGAGGTCATGACCTGAGCCGAAGTTGGGTGCTGAACCCACTGAGCCCCCCAGGTGCCCGTTTCATGACCATTTGTAAATCAGATGGTGCCAGTGTGAGAGCACTTTAGGGGAAGGTTTCCGGATGGATGCCTGGCGACTCCCCCTCCCGCCCTGAGCCTTGCTGCTCAGCGGCCAGCTGGCAAGGGAATGCCCGGCCCTGTGCTCCCCGTCGGTCCTAAGGGGTACACGCTGTGCCCCCTGTCTCCCCAGGCTCCACGAAACCCGCAGCCAGCTTTGTGCACGTCTACGTGCTGGTGGTGCTGGGGACCCTCGTCTGTGCCCTGATTCTCAGCTGCGTTCTGAAAAGGTAACGGCAGTAGCGGGTTGGACGGAGCCCCCAGATCCCACTGGTGTGCGAGCCGCCCGGGGCCTCGTGGGGACCAGGGGACCACCTCAGTGCCCCCCGCGTCCCGGTTGGGCGTCCAGCGCTCATCTCCCGCGGGGCTAACTGCGCGGGAACGCGGCCCAAGGACAAGGGGGGGACGCCGGCCGGCCGCACGCACCCCGGTTCCCCGGGCACCCTGGACCCGGGAGCCCAAGGGAACAGCGGCAGCCGCTGCCGGAACAGAGACAGAGCGCGTGCCTTGCACAGGGACACTTATCGTAATGAAAGGCTGTTTGAGTTTCCTGTGGCCGCAGGAAACAAATGACCACAAGCCAGATGGCTACAAACAGCAGAAATTAATCATCTCCCAGCTCTGGAAACCAGAGTCTGAGGTCCAGGCAAGTCAGGGCCGCTGAGATCCAGGGGAGCGGGACCCCTGAGATGAGAGGCGGGGCCTCTGAGATCCAGGGGGCGGGGCCGCTGAGAT